AATATGAAAATTCCCCACAGGGGTCCAAGAAATTAAAAAAAAAAAAAATTATTTTTCTAATTATGAAATGGTAGAGAATCTTTCTGAAGGTAATAAAACAAAAAGTACGAAATTTGACGAAAAATTGATGAAATTACGCTCTTGCAAATTTTGCTGTATCAGTGATATTTATGCATTGGCAATTTTTCCACCAAGTCCTATTTTCAGTCAATTACATTGTTCCATTAGATCAAATTCTTAGCTATTTCGCTAGTGTGTGTTCCATTTTATCTACCGAGCACAAGAAATCGCCCAATCAACTATTTCATCTACCCAATAAAGTAATCGGAAATTGGTAATTTGGCCAATTTCACACAGTTCAAAATGTTACAATTTCAAAATAGGGCCCAGAATAAACAGTGCAGGCATTCCTGGCACTAAAATAACATTTTTTGTGTATTAGTTACATTTCCAGGCTTTACAGATGAATTCTTTTGATTTTTTATTCACATAAAGAATTTTTATTCACATAAAAAAATAGAAGATTTACTGTTATGCAATATTGTAATAATTGTATAAATAATATCAGTGCATTTGTAAATGCACATTAGACCCACCAGCTGACGTGTATTGGACGAGTAATGTGATTTGTTTACTCTTGAACATAAGCAAAAATCGAACATTTCTGCTACTTTGAGCTCTTTTTCAAGCTATTTTCAGTACTAAAACCAATCAAAATCATCTCTATTTCTGTAATATGTGTTTCATTCTATGAACTGAGACAAGAAACTGCAAATACAACCATAAAAACCATATGACAATACACAGTGAAGTCTCTGTTTTAATCCAAAAATATGGTCAGTTTTTTTTTCATTATGCACTGTGTGCTGCAGGATGTGTTTTATATGGTACACACTTATCACATAGATGCATTCTCTCATATCTAGGCCCAAATTTACCGCTCACAGCTATCATGACATAGTACTACAGCTTGGACCCTGCCTTCAGAGTCATAGAACTACAGGACGGACCCTCAAAGGGTTAAAGCCCATTCTTTGCATCCACATTAGTGTTTTTACTACTATACTCTGGTATATTTCTTATTTGTCTGCATAAATAAGCATCTTAACATTTATGCCTCAACATGCCAACTATCTTTTTCCTCCCTCGTGTACTATATGGTTCACCTCATCTTTCAAGGACCTGCTAATGACTTGCCCACACCCAAATATTTAACCCTTTGAGGGTCCGTCCCGTAGATCTACGGCTTTACGTTCAGGGTCCAAACCGTAGATCTACGTCATGAGCTCAGCTCACTCTGATAAACTGTGAGTGGTACATTTGGGCCTAGATATGAGAGAATACATCTATGTGGTATGTGTGCACCACATAAAACAGATCCTGCAGCACGTTGTGTGTAATGAGAGAAAAAAACTGAAATCATGATTTTTCGATTAAAACAGCGATTTTGCAGTGTTTTTTCGTATGTTTTTTATAGTTCTATTTGCGATTTCTTGATCTCATTTGATAGAATGGAAGACATATTACAGAAATAGAGATGATTTTGATTGGTTTTAGCACTGGAAATGGCTTGAAACTGAGCTCTAAGTAGCAGAAATGTTAAATTTTTGCCGATATTCAAGAGTAAACAAACGACCTCACACGTCTAATACACCCAGCTGCTGGTCTAATATGCATTCACAAATATGGTGATGATATTTATACAATTATTACAGTATTGCATAACAGTAAATCTTCTATTTTTTGGTGTGAATAAAAATTCATTATGTGAATAAAAAGTCAAAATGGAATTTATTTGTAAAGCCTCAAAACGTAACTAATGAACAGAGGAAATGTTAGTTTAGTTCCAGGAATACCTACATTGTTTATTCTGGACCCTATTTTGAAATTGGAATATCTTGAACTTTGTGTTAAATTGGCCAAATTAACAATTTCCGATCACTTTAATTTGTAGTTGAAACAGTTGACTTGGAGATTTCTTGTGCTCAATCAATAGAATAGAAGTAATACTAGTGAAATAGCTAAGAATTTGGTTGACTGGAATAATGTAATTGGCCTAAAATGGGAGTCAAAGTCGGCAAAATCGCCGATTCGTAAATATCGCTGACACATCAAAATTCGCGAGAGCATAAGTTCGTCAATTTTCCATCAAATTTCGTACTTTTTGTTTTATTACCTTCACAAAAAGATTCTCTACCATTTCATAAGAAAAAATAACATTTTTTTTTTGAAAATTCTTGGACACTGGGGCACCACTTCAGATTTGGGCCTTGGACCCTGAAGGGGTTAAATATATTCACTTCCTCTATACTCTTCTTCCCCTTCCTCTCCAGTCTAATACCTAAACTTTGATTCCTAAGACTTTGTTACTCATCACATTTCTTTACTTTTAATTTCTTTCACATACCCTCTTAAACTCATCCATCAACTTTTGATGCTTCAGAATCTTCCTGAAGAACTGTCTCTTCTGTAAAGAGAAACTGTGACAACTCCCTAATTGTTTCAGATTCTTTGTTTTAATTCCACACCTTTCCCCAACACCCTAACAATCACTTTCTATAAGCCCAGTTATAAATATGTTCAACAATAATGGCAACATCACACATCCTTGTTACAAGCATACTTTCACTGTACTTGTAAATAGTCCTCCTCTCGCATACATACCTTAATCCAAGTCTCGCTTCTGCACAAAAACACACTACTTTTTGTAACCTACCTGTTCCATCCATTTGTAACAGCCACATTACTTCACTTTCCATCCTGTCATGCCTTTTTTAAATCCATAAATTCACCATTTCCTTCATCTTACTTAAGTATTGTTCACGTACTACAATTTGAACACTTCTACATAATTACTTACCCTTTCTAGATCATCCTCACTCCTCTGGAATCCTACTTTCTTACCCCGTAATTCTTTCAGTAATGGGAATAAGACGAAGTAGAATTGCAGGGAACACAAAATTTAGTTATGTGACAATTGTTTACATTGAAGCATGAGAGTTATATTTACATGAGGAATTTCTCGCATTAATGAATTTAGAAAAGACTTGTAAGGTGAATAGGGTGGCATTTTTTTTTTTTTTTGACACCATTCATCTCCCACAAAATTAGGCTGACCCAAAATAAAAAAAAAGTAACTTCACTCATTCAGTGGCTGTCTTGCCAAAAGTGTGCAGTAATCCGTTTAAATGACCCTCCAGTGTTTTCCACATTTTAAACATTTTCATAAGTGTTGCTTAGCTCACAAACTTTTACAGCATATCAAGCCACAGAAACCATTTGTTTCTGCTCACTTGGATCTAACACACTTACACATCTTGTGTGATATAATTTTTAATAGAATGGATTGGTAACCCAGCGGAAGACTTCAGTTTAAGGATGAAGAGCTCCACTGAGTAGGTCATGTGACTTAAGATCTGTTGCTAAAGAAATCCCCCCCCCTCTTTTTTTTAACTCGTACCCTTCCTATTAACATTTGTTGCCTCTCTTATCTCTTCTGTCCCTCCCCCCCCCTCTCTCTCTCCACCTTTTCTCTCTTCCAGGAATTATATAATGTTCAGCACTTTGCTGGCTAAGAGTGGTTATCCTGCCTCTGCTTATTTTTAAATCCTAGTCACTAGCAGTATCTTCTTGTAGTTAACTTAAAGGTGTGTTCTTTATTTAATAATATTAAGCAACATAAATGCAGTGCATATATTAATGAGAAGTTCACACTAGAGCTATATATAGGTCATAGCTTTCATTACTTAATATGATTCAGTATCTCTTGTGCCTCTTAATTTTCCCATCACATTCTTATCCCCCTTCCCTCTTCTAGTTTAGTGCATCCCCATTTATTTTTATTATTTTATTCCCTCCTCTTTTATTTTTTCCTTTTCCTTCCTCCCAAATATATCCCCTCCACTTCATTTTACCTCTTCCTTTTTTCCTTATACTACTAGTTTTTTAGACTCTTCCATCCCTACTCATTTTTATCTTTCTCACATTGCCTCTTTTTCCATTGCTTTTTTCCCCAACTCCCTTACCCCTCTCCTCTTCCCCATCTGTTACCTGTTAGTTCTGGGGACCTCCTTCCATATTTCTTTTAAATATTCCTTCTTTCCATGTTCTTCTCTTCTCTGTCAGTATATGTAATAAGAGCTTGGTACCAAGCAGTGTTTCTTGGCTAGATTGTTATTTAAGATAATTTTTGGCAAACTGTTTTTCAGAGTATTGTGCATGCATGTACCACCCTGCTTGTGTGTGGGAATAGTTAAAGCTTGATAAAGAAGGAACACATGCTATCTAATTGTATAATTTTGACCAGCCCAATTAATCTGACCTTCAATATTTTAAAGCATATATTTATTTTATACTGTATATTCAGTAGTCTTGTGTAAATTTGAGTTGGTCTCGTGATTAGGTTTTTTGTTCATGGTAACACTTTCAAGCATGATTAATCTTAATATTGGTCATACATAGTCTAAGCATTAAATTAAAAACAAAGGTTAATTTGATAAGCTGGAAATAGGTGGCAGTGTTAAGGATTGATAGATATTGTTTCAGATTCATTTATTTTATCAGAAGAAAATGTAGTGTAATTATATACCAGTTAATTACTTAAGACTTATATTGACATTGACTCAGCCTTCTAGGAGGAGGATGGAAGCTGATGCTGGACTTCAGCTATGTAGTGGGAGTCTGTGCTGCTCTCTCAGGTTTGGCGTGTGTGTATCATGTAACAAACTGCCATCTGTGGCCTCTTGAGATGAATTCATGGGACACTCTCCATACCCATCTTGGTGGTTGTCCGTAACACGTAGTGCTCTTACAGTTGAAACTAAAATGCCAAATTAAGTTACATTATCACTTGCTTTGTGTAAGTTTATACTGAAAGGTGTGTAATTCTTGTGAAAGAAATTCATGTACTGTTTATGTATTGCTTCTCCAAGTGTGAAGCCCATCCATCATATATAGTATGCATTTTAATTAAAAAAAAAAATATGTATTGTGTCTTACAGAATCCAGATCCCAGGAAAATGCAGATAATGTTGACAGGCTTCTTGAATGGTAAAAATGCCCGTATATTTATGGGAGAATTATGGGAGCTGATGGTGTCTGCCCAGGCCAGTCCATCAGGCATACCTAAGCAGTTCCTAGACCAGAAAAAAGAAGAGCTTAAAAAGAAAATGGTAAGCAGATTGTATGCATGACTATATGTACATTTCATTTTTCAGCATGTATTAAGGGTAATTTCATTCAATCATTTCTGTATGTCAAAAAATAAATATTGCTGAAATAATTCACAGTTAAAACAAATTAAAAATGGAAACTAGATATATTTTTTTACATGTCTTGGACCATGATCAATTTTTTTTTTTCACATCGGCTGTTTCCCATCGAGGCAGGGTTACCCAAAAAGAAAGAAAAACTTTCATCATTCAACACTTTCACCATCACTCATACTTACATAATCACTGTTTTTGCAGATACAACAGTTTAGACGTCCCTCCAAACTGCCAATATCCTAAATCCCTCCTTTAATCCTTTCAGGGTCGACAGGCCCGCTCCCAGACTTGTTTTCAGGGTCGACAAATTTCCAGAAAAAAAAAAATTATTTTTTCTCATGAAAAGATAGAGAATCTTTTCCCGATCATAATGACACCAAAAGTATGAAATTTGATGGAAAACTTACGGAATTATGCTCTCGCGAAGTCAGCGGTCTCAATGATGTTTACGCATCGGCGATTTTGCCCACTTTGAGCCCAATTTTCGGCCAATTCCAGTGTACTAGTTGACAGAAATCATAACTATTTCGCTAGAACTCCATTTTTTTCTATCGAATGAGTACAGAAACCACCCATTTACCGATTTTGACTATCCAATAGAGTGGTCAGAATTTAGCAATTTTGCCAATTAAACACAAATTTCAAAAGATGCCAATTTCCAAATAGGGTCCAAAATAAACAAGAAAGACATTCCTGGCACTAAAATAAAATTTCCTCTGTTCATTAGTCATGTCCCCATGCCCCTCTTACATTCTTTTTCTTTCCACTTTGAATTTTTATTCTCACAAAAAATAGAAGATTTACTGTTATGCAGACTACTGCATTAGTGTAGAAATGGTATAAATAATAACAGTGCACTTGTGAAAGAATATTAGACTCGCCAGTTGACATGTATTGGACGCGTAGCATGATTTGTTTTCTTTTGAATTTTGGCAAAAATTGAAGATTTCTGCTACTTTGAGCTCAATTTCAAGGTACTTTTCATTGTAAAACCAATCAGAATCGTCTCAATTTCTGTAATATGTCTTCCATTCTATAAAATGAAACCAGGAAAACTAGAATACCATCATGGTGGCACCATTAGAATACCATCATAAATACCATACGAAAATACAGTGCAAAGTCGCTATTTTAAACCAAAAACAGTCGGCTTTTTTTTTTTTTCTCATTACGTACTGTGCTGCAGGATTTTTTTTTAAACTGCGCACACTGACCACATAGACCCATCTTTCATATGTAGGCCTACCAGCTTTCTCTCGCTAGATTTGAGGGCACTAGAATTTAGGTGTACTAGTACGTCAAAAACCCTGGTGCGTAAGCCGTACTAGTACGTCAGAAACCCTGAAAGGGTTAAAGTGCAGGCATTGTAGTTTCCATTTCCAGGACTCCAGTCTGGCTAAATGGTTTCCCTGAATCCCTTTACAAAATATTACCCTGCTCACACTCCAACAGCTCATTAGGTCCCAAAAACCATTCATCTCCATTAACTCCCATCACACACGCTCATGCATGCTTGCTGGAAGTCTAAGCCCCTCGCCCACAAAACGTCCTTTATCCCCTCTCTCCAGCTATATCGGGGACGACCCCTACCCTGCCTTCCTTCCCTAATTGATTTATATGCTCTCCAAGTCATTCTACTTTGTTCCATTCTCTAAATGACCAAACCACCTCAACAGCCCCTCTTCAGTTCTCTGACTAATACTTTTAGTAACTCCACACCACCACCTAATTTCCACACTACGAATTTTCTGCATAATATTTACACCACACATTGCCTTTAGGCACATCATCATTGCCTTCAGCCGCCTCCTTGCTGCAGCATTTACAATCTATGCTTCACACCCATATAAGAGTGTTTATACCACTATATTCTCGTACATTCCCTTCTCTGCCTCCATGGATAACGTTCTTTGTCTTCACAGATACCAGCACTTACCCTTTTTTCTGTATCATTTCTATGGTTTACCTCATCCTTCATAAACCCATCCGATGACAAGTCAGCTCTCAAATATCTGAAAACATTCACTTCTTCCATACTCCCTCCCTCCAATGTGATATCCAATTTTTCTTTATCTAAATCATTTGATATGCTCATCATCTTACTCGTATCTTTATTCACTTCCAACCTTCTTCCTTTACACACCCTCCCAAACTCGTCCACTAACCTTTGAAACTTTTCTTTAGAATCTCCCAAAAGCACAGTATCATCAGCAAAAAATAACTACACCTACCATCCGACTTATGACCGAGTTCGGTTCCGAGAAACCGGTCGTAAGTCGAAATGGATGTAAGTGGAACTTTGCTACTGAATATCAACATAACATTTTTGTAATGACTTTATTTTATTGTTTTATTTTGGTATTTCATGTTTTACTTTACTTTTTATGTTGTTAGTACTGTATTTTATACTGTAAGGTTTAGGATAAACACCGTGTACAACACAAACACTTGTTTATTTCCCAGAGATTTGGCATAAAAAACACGGTTTTAAGTCGAGTCGTCGTATGTCGAGCAGGTCGTAAGTCGGATGGTAGGTGTATTTTGTATTCGATTCCCCAAAATTTAATCCCACTCCTCTCCCCAACACCCTAGCATTTTTCTTTTACAACCCCATCTTTTCTTTCTTTCAACACACTGGCCGTTAGCCACCGAGGCAGGGTGGTCCAAAAGGAAAAACGAAAGTTTCTCCTTTTACATTTAGTAATATATACTGGAGAAGGGGTTACTAGTACCTTGCTCCCGGCATTTTAGTCGCCTTTTACAACACGCATGGCTTACGGAGGAAGAATTCTGTTCCACTTCCCCATGGAGGTAAGAGGAAATAAACAAGAACAAGAACTAGAAAGAAAATAGAAGAAATCCAGAGGGGTGTGTGCATATATATGCTTGTACATATATGTGTAGTGTGACCTAAGTGCAAGTAGAAGTAGCAAGACGTACTTGAAATCTTGCATATTTATGAGACAGACAAAAGACACCAGCAATCCTACCATCATGTAAAACTATTACAGGCTTTCGTTTTACACTCACTTGGCAGGATGGGTGGTTGCTGTCTACCAACCTACTACCTTAACAACCCCATCTATAAATACGTATATTAAACAACCATGGTGACACTGCACATCCTGTCTAAGGCTTACTTTTACTGGGAGGCAATCTCCCTGTCTCCTTAATCTGAGCCTCACCATCCTCATAAAAACTACAGCATTTAGTAACTTACTACCTATTCTATACACTTACAACATCTGCCACATTGCTCCCCTATCCACTCTATCATATACTTTTTCTAAATTCATAAATGCAATGAAAAATTCTCTACCTTTATTTAAATACTGAACACATATATGCTTCAATGTAAACACCTGATCTACACATCCCCTACCCATTCTAGAACCTCCTTGCTCATCTGCAATCGTGTTCTCTCTTACCTCTAACTCTTTCAATAATAACTCTCATACACTTTACCTGGTATACTCAGTAAACTTTATTTTTATCTTATTAACACATGAGCCGAGTCCCACCAAGGCAGGGTGGCCCGAAAAAGAAAAACTTACGTCGTCATTCACTCCATCAGTGTCTTGCCAGAGGGGGGTGCTTTACACTAAAGTTTATAAAACTGCAACATAACACCCCTCCTTCAGAGTGCAGGCACTGTACTTCCCATCTCCAGGACTCAAGTCCGGCCTGCCTGTTTTCCTGAATCCCTTCATAAATGTTACTTTGCTTACACTCCAATAGCATGTCAAATATTAAAAACCATTTCTCCATTCACTCCTATCAAATAGGCTCACGCATGCTTGCTGGAAGTCCAAGCCCCTCGCACACAAAAACCACCTTTACCTTCTCCCTCCAATCTTTCCTAGGCCAACCCCTACCCCGCCTTCCCTGCACATCAGATTTACACGCTTAGGAAGTCATTCTGTTTCGTTTCATTCTCTCTACATGTCTGAACCACCTCAAGCCTCTGGACAACAGTTTTGGCAATCCCGCACCTCCTCCTAACTTCCAAACTACGAATTCTCTGCATTATGTTTACACCACACATTGCCCTCAGACATGACATCTGCACTGCCTTGAGACTTCTCCTCGCTGCAACATTCATCACCCGTGCTTCACACCCATATAAGAGCATTGATAAAACTACACTCTCATACATTCCCGTCTTTGCTTACAAGGACAAAGTTCTTTGTCTCCACAGACTTCTAAGTGCACCACTCACCCTTTTCCCCTCATCAATTCTATGATTCACCTCATCTTTCTTAGACCCATCTGCTGACACGTCCACTCCCAAATATCTGAATACATTCACCGCCTCCATACTCTCTCCATCCAATCTTTTGTTATCTAATCTTTTGTTATCCTCATCACCTTACTCTTTCCTGTATTCACTTTTAATTTTCTTCTTTAACATACCCTACCAAATTCATCCACCAACCAACTTCTCTTCACAATCTCCCAAGAGCATAGTGTCATCAGCAAAAAGCAACTGCGACAACTCCCACTTTGTGTTTGATTCTTTATCATTTAACTCCACACCTCTTGCCAAGACCCTCGAATTCACTTCTCTTACAACCCCATCTATAAATATATGTATTGACCAACCATGGTGACATCAAACATCCTTGTCAAAGGCCTACTTTTACTGGGAAATAATCTCCGTCTTTCCAACATACTCTAACCTGAGCCTCACTATGCGCCTAAAAGCTCTTCACTGCTTTCAGTAACCTACCTCCTATACCATACACCTGCAACATCTGCCACATTGCTCCCCTATCCACCCTGTCATATGCCTTTTCCAAATCCATAAATGCCACAAAAACCTCTGTAGCCTTATCTAAATACTGTTCACCTATATATTTCACTGTAAACACTTGATCTACACACCCTCTACCTTTCCTAAAGCC